TCTTCATCATCATCATAATATGGAGAATTTCGCTGTAGTAGACTTTGTGATACTTCCTCGAGCTGTTTTCTAGAGGTTATGACTGGTTCCAGTTGAGACTGTATTCCGGTCAAGGGTTCATCCTCATCAAATCTAACATGTCTCGAAGTTATAATTTCACCATAAGTTCCGTCTTTGTTGATCACCAGCAGATCATATGCTTTGCTGTTTTCATGATAGCCAACAAATACACAGCGCTTTGCTTTGTCTCCAAACTTTTGTTTGTGACGTTTCTCCTTGGGAATGAGCGGGTATGCACGACATCCAAACCGATGCATGTGATGAAGATTTACTGGTCTGTCAAAGAGTTTCTCATGTGGGATACGGAAGTTCTGTGCAGACGCAGGAGTACGATTAATGGTGTAAGCAGAGGTACGTAAGGCCAGGTTCCAGAATTTGCGAGGAAGCCGAGAATCAACCAACATAGTAGTTGCACGAGTAACAAGAGTGTCTTGCATTCGTTCAGCAACTCCATCCTGTTCTGGTGTATATGGTGCAGTGACCTCATGGATGATTCCCAGCCTTTTGAATTCTGCCTCCATCTGCTTTGATGTGTATTCGCCCCCACCGTCTGTGCGGAAAAAGCGAGTCCATCCAGCACCAAATTCCCAATTTGCAATAGTTGCACGGAAGTGTTGTTCAACATGGATGCGCCATTCTTTTAGCCGGAGGTATATCTCAGATTTCTTTTTGGCAAATAGAACCCAGACATGAGAGCTCCAGTGATCAACCACTACAGCCCAGTATCGTAAGCCTCCAGGACCGGTAGGTGTTACTGGACCACCAACATCAGAGGAGAGAATATCCAGTGGACCCCGAGCCTTGGTTTGGCTTTTGGAAAATGGTAGTTTCTTCATTTTCCCTACCACACAAGGTTCACAGAATTTTGGCTGTCCTGTCAAGGAGGTGATTCCAGCAAGTCGACCCTTGCTCACGGAGTTCTGGAGTAATTGGAAATTTGTATGCCCAGAAATTCTGTGCAAATGGTTGATATCCATTGCAAATAAAGCATGTGGATCCTGGCTCAAAGGAGTGCAAGTCATGTGGTATAGTCCTTTATGTTGTGTTGCCTCAACAATGTGCTGGCCTTTAGAACTACGAACAATACATTTGTCTCCCTCAAAAGTGCATTTGTGACCAGCTTTTGCTAATTGCTGCACAGATATCAGTGTAATTCCAAAGGAGGGAACATGCAAAGCACGCTTGAGTTCAAGCTTATTCACTCCATGCTTTGTTTTACAAGAGAACCATATGGATCCAATGCCAATTGCATCACAGCAAGTGTCATTTCCAAGACGAACCTTCCTAGGAGGATCAAGAACCTGGTATGTACCAGTTTCAAACCAATCAAGATGTGGAGTCATAACCCTGGATGCTCCAGAGTCAATTACAACCACCCATTTTGGCTTACTAGAGTCACTCGACAGGTAAGCAGAAAAAGCAGTGTAAGATTTGGCAGAGACAGAAGCTATAGCTAATTTTGCATCCACCTCCGAGTCATCAGAATCAGAGTCAGAAGCGGCAGAGGCATTTGCCTTCGAACCACGTTTCCTATCTGGCTTCTTAGACTTGGACTTGTTCCTATTCTTGGAGTCCTGAGAGAAGCTCTTCAAGTTGCGACATTCATCAGATGAGTGCGTTGCATTCTGCCCATGATGAAGGCAGAACTTGGAACCTGGTGATTTCGCTCTGCTAGAATTCTGTGCTGCCATAGCTGTATCGGTATCTGCAATTGGCTTTTTGCCTGCAGCAACTATGCGTCCACGAACTTTGTCTAGAGTGATGGTGGAACCGAGGGAAGAAACGATGTTCCCGCGGATTCCAGTCCAGTAGCTGTCCTGTGGAAGAGTGCTGAGGAGAATAAGGGGCTGGAGCTCCGGGGGGAAAGGATATTTCAATCGTGTCAAGCGATCAAAATAGCCCTTGACAAGAGCAATATGAGCTTCAAGCTGTTTCTTCTCAACGAGTTCAGAGTCACCCTCAATTACTAGTTTGGTGGCAAAGAGGTCTGAGAGAATGCCCATTGCTGTATCAGCACGGTTCTCCTCCTCAAAACGCGCCCGAAGTTTAGCCCAGAGAACTCCAGCATTGGATTCATCTAAATATTCCAGCTTTAGTTCAGCAGAGAGATATTTCTGTAAAACTCCTAGAGCACGACTGTTGCGCTCTGCTGGAGTGTCCTTGAAGGCAACACCAGCAGGAGCAGATGAACCAGGCAAGGGGGTGTTGGCAGCAGCAATGTGCAGGGCATCAGAGGCAGTAAGAGCCTTGATGACATCCTCTAGTAGCGTGAACAAGCCTGCTTGGCGTAACTCCCCTTGGGCAGTAACACGAAACATAGGCCAGTCATCTGCACCCGAAAGAACGGTAAAGTCCGTAATATCTGTTGTTGACATAGTGTGACGTCCGAGGTGATATCGGATCGGGTCGACCAAAGGGAAAAGATTTGATCGATCAGTTCGACCAAAAGGGAAAATATTTGATCGGATCAAATTTGACCAAAAGGGGAAAGATGTGCCGCGATGGTCGGGATGCTTCTAGCTCCGATGGAGCGAGCGATGAGTCTTGATTCTTCGAGGTCTGTCCTAGAGAAGCAATGCTCCGGGGCCCATAACCTGTCAAAATCTGTAAATGTGCGGAAAGCACAGTACCTCAGTCTCCCGCTATGTGGGATCAAAGACTGTATATTAAATACCTGTAAATGTGCGGAAAGCACAGTACTACAGATATTATGTAAGTAAATACTGAAAATATAAATAAAGGACTCACCCTCAGTCTCCCGCTATGTGGGATCAAAGACTGAGGGTAAGACTCGAGTGTGAGACAGTTTATATAGCTATCTAATGCTGTATTCATCTGTCCATCACGCAAATGTCAATTCTTATCATGGCCGGAGGCCGGGGCGCTCAATGGAGTAAGATATTCATTTTCTGACACTCTGTACGCCCGCCGTCCTGTCAACCACGCCGTCTGCACGCCGCCCCCACCCCTCTGTACGCCACCCCCGCCGTCCCGCTTCCTGCATGCCCCCACGGGCCAGTTTTCGACCCACGCCGCCTCCACGCGCTCCTACGAGCGTGCACGGGCTCGTTCTTGACGCCCCGCACCGCCGCCGCTTAGATACACCCTGCGCACGCTCCTACGAGCGTGCGCGGGCTCGCTTTCGATGCCACACGCCGCCCCCGCCCCCGCGCACATCTTGTGAGCGTGCTTGACGCCCCGCGCTGCCGCCGCCCGGAACCGCCCAGTGCACAATCGTAGGAGCGTGCACGGGCTCGCTTTCAGCGCCCCACGCCGCTGTCGCCCCTGTGCGGGCTTTTTCTTGACGCCCTGCACTGCTGCCGCCCGGAACCGCCCTGCGCATGCTCCTACGAGCATGCGCGGGCTCGCTTTCGATGCCCGCCGCCGCCTCCGCCGCCCTGCAACGCTCCTGCGCCGCTGCTTTCTAACCCCCCGCACCACGCCGCCACCTGCGCATGCTCGTGGGAGCATGCGCGATTTCTTTCGACACCCGCTGCCGCCGACCCCTGCGACACCCCTGTACCGTGCTGCCACCACCGCCCTCAACGCCCCTGCGACACCGCCCTCCAACGCACCGCGCCCCGCCGCCGCGCGCGCACGCTCGCGGGAGCCCTCCAACGCCCCCGCGCCTCACGCACTGTGCCGCGCTGCCGCCCGTGCACGCTTGCGAGAGCGCGCGCGGTTTCGCTTTCGACGCCCGCCGCCGCCGCCGCAACACGCAGCCGCCGCCGCCGCCTGCCATGCCCCGCACCGCGCTGCTGCCGCCGCCCTCCAACGCACCGCGCCGCGCTACCGCCCCCGCTACCGCCCCCGCACGCTCCTGGGAGCACGCACGGTTTTGCTTGCGACGCCCTCTGATGCCGCCGCCCCCGCGACGCACCGCTGCCCCCACACCGCACTGCCACCCCCGCACCGCGCTGCCGCCGCCACGCCGCTGCCGTCCAACACGCCGTGCCGCGCCGCTGTCGACACCCGCACATGCTCCGGCATCGAAAGCGAGCCGGCGCAGGTTCCCGCGAACGTGTGCACAGCTGCCTTGCAACGTCGCGCACCGCGCTGCTGCCCACGCACGCTCGTGGGAGCGTGCGTGGGCTCGCTTTCGACGCCCACCTGTGCCGTCGACGCCCGCACACGCTCTAAAGCGAGCCGGTGCACGCTCCCGCAAGCGTGCCCCCTTGCAACGTCACGCGCTGCGCTGCCCGCGGGCAGCGTGCGCAGGATCGCTAGGCCGCCGCCGCCCTGCAACGCACCTACGGCTGCCTGGCAACGCCGCGCGCTGCGCCGCTGCCCGCGCATGCTCCGGCACACGCTCCCGGGAGCGTGCCCGCCGCCGCCTCCGCAATGCGCAGCCGCCGCCGCCGCCCGCGACGCCCTGCACCATGCTGCTGCCGCCACCCTCCAACGCGCCGCACTGTGCTACCGCCTGCGCACGCTCGCGGGAGCGCGCGTGGTTTCGCTTGCGACGGTCGCTGATGCCGCCGCCTGCAGCGCCGCCGCACCGCGCTGCCGCTGCCGCACCGCACTGCCGCCGCTGCACCGCGCTGCCGCCGCCGCACTGCGGCCTGGCAACACCGTGCGCTGCGCTGTTGCCCGTGCACGCTCGCGGGAGCGTGTGCGGTTTCGCTTTCGATGCCCTCCGCTGCCACCCCTGCGACGCCCCTGCGCGGCGCGAGACCATGCACAGGTTCGGTTTTCTCGCCCGCCACCACCGCCGCCCTGCACCACCTCCGCGCGGGGTCGGTTTCGACACCTGGCGACGCCCCGTGCCGCTGCCCTGCACCACCCTGCGCGGGTTTTGACACCTGGCGCCGCCGTCACCTCATGCCGCCGCCCCGCACCGCCCACGCACGTTCCCATGAGCGTGCGCCGGCTTGCCTGCAGGCAAGACTCAGGGTATGGGCTATGCATAGTATAGTGTCTTTAGTTTCTTAACATTTAAAGGTGGTATGGTGTAGATGGCAAGTACGCTGTTCTTTTGCACGTGAGGTCGTTGGTTCGAACCCAGCGAGTAACAGCACTTTAATTCTGTCGTTAAGACTAACTGGCCTTCATTTCAATTGTGAATTGAATACTAATCCTAATGCTAAGTTTCAGCACTGACTTCAAACAATGTAAGCTGCTAATCTTGAATGAAACAAATGGTGACTGACTTCAAAGGATGTAAACTGACCTTCAATGAAACACAAGGTAAGTAAGTTGAATGAAGTAAAGTCTAATAGAAAGTAGAAAAGATGTGTAATAATTTTTAAAAAAAATGTCATTGCCTTCAATTTCATAGCAAACCCGTAGTACTCCCTAGCATTACAGTAGTGCTACAGTGCTAGGAGACTGCTAGGAGACCACTATGGAAGCACTACAGCTGCTACAGGACTGCTACAGCTGCTACAGGACTGCTACAGAAGTGCTCCAGGACTGCTACATGTTAATATAGAACCACTGTGGACACCCCCCCCCCTGGCTAGGGCACTATGGGCAATATGGTGCTCCCATAGTGCTAGGGAGTACTAGGGAGCGGATCCCTGAATTACTGATGTTGAGTAACCAGCTTCTCCTGGATTTCGTCGAGGTATATGCAGTGGCTCTGCTCAATCTCAATGTACTTAGTGTCCGTCGCAGTAAGCAAACGACGACGGCCAGAGGAGCGTTTGGCATGCGGGTTGTACGGCTTGCCGTGGAGGGAGTGTAGTTCCAGGGTTTTATAGACCAGGGTCTTCTTGACACCCAGGACAGAGCATATACGCTTTACAGAGAAGTCCCTGTCGAAGTACAGGACAGGGATACGTGCTTTGAGGTCGGACGAGATGGTTCTGGGAGGCATGTCCGTTTTGGGCTGTTGAGCAAACACGATCAAACAACTTGGAAAAATTTCGCGTTTTCCGCATACTTCTGATAACAGCTGTAAGTCTTGCTAGATAAAAATAAAAAGTCACGCTATAAAATATTATAAAATATTATATTTGTTTATTTTTTGCACTCGTATCCCCTACTACTCTCGTATCCACTACTACTCTACTCTACACCTCAACCCATGCCGAGCACCAAAGCTACAAAAGTGGCCCACACAGCTGCTCCCACCACCCAAGCCGGCCGCACGAAAAAGCCCACCCCCAAGGGCGAGGCACACCAGGCGGCGGTCCGCAGGGCACAGAAAAAAAATAAGACTGTCGACCAGCTGGACTCCTCGGACGAGGATAACACAGCTGGGACCGATCGCGAAGACCTTACCGGACAGGAGGTCGGCGTAAAAACCGGGACCCTATCCTTCGAGTGAGTTGTATGCCCTCCTTTTTTTTTTTGCTTACCATATCCACAGTTGGAGCGACCAGTCCTTGAGCCAGGAGCTCCTCACCCAGATCCTCGAGAATGGTGATATCAAGAGGGTGCTGTTTCCTCCTCCCGGTAGCAATGCATCGACAGCCAAAGGCGGGGGCAAGACGAAGACTGCCTCACATTGGAAACTTTGCCTGATGGTCTTCGGCGACTCCCCCAAATACAAAGCAGCCCTCAAGGCAGCAGCCAAAGTCCCCAAGGACCGCATTGCGTACGCCAACAAGATTAAAAACCGTCTGCGAGCGTGAGTGCCATACGACTCGGAGTACTTGTATCGTCCTTGACTTACCTGTGCACAGTATGGGGAAGATCACCCGCGCGTTAATCAGTGAGATGGGGGAGACTGGGGCCGGCATCCGTCACGCCAATGAAATAGACATGAATCTCAATAACGTGTTGACCAACAAGTGGCGTATGCGCTCACCTCATCGTCCCGCGCTGTTCTGATGCATATCACAGAGGAGATCCTCCCATCCGCTCCATGGTTCTTCGACTTGTGCGAGCTCATTGCACAGCATCCCAACCTTGTACCCACCGGCCTGGGCAATAGCGCCTCCAGCTTCGACGACGGCATCCTGGGAACAGGTTTCACAGCCCAAGACAACGACAGTGACGATGATGATGACAACACTGACTCTGGCAACGGCAATGGATGTAGGCACTGTACCCATAATGCATTATGGCTGGCCGCAGGCATGCACAGTAATGCATTAAATAGCTAATTGGTCGGCCGCTAGGTAATACCCGCATTGCAATGTGGCCATGAACGTGCCTGGCTTGCCACAATAAAAGGATGGCCACCTGCCAGGCTCGAACCAAAAGACACCTGAAAATATAATTATAGGGCACCGCAGGCTGCGCATCGCGACCGGCCGTGGCAGTGAACTCGATCTGGGAAATTTGAGTCGTCTTTGGCGTGTGGGGCGAGCGAGACGAGCGGGTGGAACGAGACGAGCGAGTAAGAGCCTGGCGGGAAGAGATCAGAGAAGACAGCAAGAAATCAAAGAAAAAATGATGATGCACCTGACGTGCACGTTTGTGTCGTGTACTCACAACCTCCACCTCGCCCTCAGAGGCATCGACACCGCGCTTGAGGGACTCGTCCAATGCAGCTCTCTCCATCGTGCTGGTCCAAGCATTGTATGTCCACATGAACGCTGTCTTTATTTCCAGTAGAATTACCACCGGAAGGGCATTCAGCCTGAATGAACCATATCCTGCGCCACCGCTCTTCTTATTTGCCTTGAAGAAGTGGGGGGCAATGGGATCAATCTTCTCCATGTTGATGGGGGCTCGGTCCTTGTCGCAAAGTGTGATGTCGTGAACAGAGAGCGGAAAGGTTTTTCCAGGGAAGTTGAGCTCGACTTCATCATTGAACTTTGAGTAAATGGAGGTAAACGCAACAGTGAGGAGATCGGGCGGCTTGATGTGGACTGGAATGTCGGAGAGGATCGTGCCACAGCTCTGAGGTTCAAGAACATTAAAAATGAGCACAATTTGAGTATATGACACAGCATAAACGTACACCGAGTTTCTGGTGCTTGATGGCACCTGGAGGGACATGCACAAGCCTGATGTCGACCTTCCCAACAAAACCTGAGTGCTGCGCAAATGCACTGGCTTGTGCTCGTGCCAGGGCCTCTTGATACTGCGCATGGCTGGTGCTGTAGCCACTAGAGTGCGAGACATTGGGACGGGACTGGATGTTGGTACGGGCGGCGAGAGGCGGACCCATACTGCCGAGTGCCTGTACAGGCACCTTCTCTGAACGAGGGATCGGTGGTTGAACAGACTTGAACAAGATAGAGGAATACCATGCCTCTGTGCTGCGTTTGTGAGTCCATAGATCTTTTTCTCCCGCCGAGGAACCTGTGGCCGAAAGGTCGGGGTTGCTGGCGACTCTGCCAGTGACTGTGCTGTAGTTACTGTAAGCACATGGTCAGAGTAAGGACTGGGAACTTACAGTCGCGTCTAGCAGTAGTCGCCTTGCTTTTGTAGTGCTGGTAGCATGTTGTGCAGTGGGTTTGTCGTAATTGCGAACAGAAATAGAGCGAAGACGGGTGCCGGCCGGATAGTGCCTCTGGCCTTTGCACTCCACACCCCGCCCGCAGTCCACAGGACCAGAGTCGGTAAAGCTGGCTATGATCGACGGGCCACCTTCCATTTGCATGCAGAGGGGACAAATAGATTAAAAAAAAGGAAAGACTGGTCGGTGCCAATTACGAACCTTTTTAAGGAAGGCAAATGTAACAGGTTAGTCAGACCCGTGTTGCGCACAGCACTGATCCGTGGGCATCTTACTCCTCAAAACATGTTTGTCGCCGCCGGAACTGAGCACTCCGGCATCTTGCACAATTTAAAACACCGTTCCATCTCAAGCCACCGTTCTGCTCATTCCAATACACCGATCTAGACCGATCTCGACTCCAAAACATGACGCAGTGCGAACCTCACACTGCGAAAACCGCGGAATTATTAACCCAAAACAACATGGAGCTCTCGTGCCGGCTTCTAGATCCGTCGAGGTGTTTATCGACTTTATATTACTTGTAGTCGGAGGCGGGTATCAAAATTGTAAACATGTTTTAGTATAACACTGACAAGCTCGTTCGCAGGATATTTTTTTAAGTTAATGGAGTATATACAACCAATATACAACAGCAGTGGGAGCTCTGGGCATGACTAGTTAATTCAAAAGCTATTATGGACTCACGGTGTTGCATGCTCCAGGTCACGTGACGGATTCTCGGCTCGTACTTATCCGATATGGAAATGCGGCTTCGGGGTCCTGACGTGGCCACACGACATGCCGGGGCCGGCACTTGGACCTCCGATCACGGAAATCACTTTGTCTGTTCCCTGTTGCCATAGTCATCCGCCTATCATCCGCAGACAGACGGTGCGACAGAGCACGCGAACCGCACGATGACACAGATGCTACGGCAGTGTGTTGAGCTCCATCAGAAGGACTGGGTATCACGCCTACCTGGTATAGAATTCGCGATGAATACCGCTCGTTCAGACAGTGTTCAGACACCACGGGATTTTCCCCATTCTTCTTGAATTACGGGCGGGTGCCTAGACCTATGATCTGGAATGTAAAATCAGAATATCCAGGAGTACGAAAATTTGCTGAGCGGGTAAAAGAGTCAATTCTAGTAGCTCACGATGCCATAATCGCCAAGCGTGTAAAACAGACCATACATGCGAATAGAAAAAGGCGGCCCGCTGAATTAACGGTTGGAGATTTAGTATACCTGTCAACAAAAAATCTCAAGCTCCCGAAAGGCCAAGCGCGAAAGCTCACCCCGAAATATATTGGACCCTTTCCGATAACGAAGGTTCTGGAACCTGGTGCTTCGTTTCAGCTTGAGTTATCCGAGGAGCTGAAAACTCGCGGAGTTAACCCCTCGTTTCATGCCTCATTGTTGCGTATCCACGTGCCAAATGATGATCGCCGTTTTCCCGGCCGACAGTTACATCAGTTACCGGGATTTGGGGCGGTGCCGAACGAATGGGCCGTCGACAGGATTCTAGAATTTCTGTCGCACAGTGGACAGGGCCGGGATGCTCTGTTTGAGGTAAAATGGAAGTCTGGGGACGTAACATGGCTTCAGTATGCTGAAGTCAAGCACTTAGAACCATTGAAATCGTACCTGGAAGCTATGGGAATTTCAAAAATTG